GGGGGCAGTGTGTGTGTGTGTATGGGAGGCTGTATGGGGGGCAGTGTGTGTGTAAGGGGGCCGTGTGTGTGTATCGGGGGCAGTGTGTGTGTATGGGAGGCTGTATGGGGGGCAGTGTGACAGATCCATCTGTCTGGACTAAAAGTACTGTGTTCGTCTGTTTTGCCGTTTGCATGAATTCCCCCATTCGTATGCTTTGTTTAAGAGAATGTCTGTTTTTTGTCGAACGGAACTACCGAACGGACGGCCACCCAGAAGAGAAGTGTGCTGCTGGTTAACCTATTGATCCCAATTAGAACGTTGCGGTTAACCACAGACACTTCTCAATTAAAACCGAATACCGGGTGGTCGTCGTTCGTATGTCGACCACGAGGCGGCGGCCATTTTAACCATGCGAAAGACCAGCGGTGTTCGGTTATTTCATGGAACTGAAAACGGACACTTTTTCAACCGAACACCGCTGAAGCCGTCGACCTCCCCTTCTCAATCGACAAAAGCATACGAATGCCGGCCGTTCGGGAGATTCAACAACACGAATGGACTTAACCCAGATAGCCTTCCCATGGAGTCAATCGCATACCGAAGAACTGTAATAGACTTTGACTCCATGGTGATTGAACTATGCGAATAGGATCTGAGCGCTATTCGCCAATAATATGCACTCAGATCCAGGCTATCTGGGGATGTGTTACACGAATGCAATATGTTCGGCAGTTATAAAGTTATGGATTTTTATGTGTTTTATGACTTGTACTTAAAATGGCGATTTGCCTCTGCTCTGGGAGATAATTTAATTACTTCCCAATTATCTCCCGAGCAGAGGGGAGGGAACTGTGATGCATGCTGGGAATATTGTGGGGATGTATGTCCAAAATGTCCCCATGTCTTTCTGTTATTCCAGTCTCCCATTTGGTCCCCTAGGGGAGTGTCCTCCAAGTGGGAGACCTGCATAAATACCGGGCAGGTAGCCCACAGTAAATCAGTTCGTGTTTTACCCTCAAAGAGGAGCTTGGTCTCGTTATTGGGGGGATTTTATTACCGGCGCCTAGAGACTGCTTATTGGAATTATTTGCCGCTTGGAAGATATTGGCGTTCGGCTAACATTGTCAGTTCGTGGATTTGGAGTTCGTGAAGGGAAAGAGCCATACAGGTATCGTTCGGGAGTTTGGAGTGTTCCCTAGCTGGCGGTTCGCATGGTTATACTGCATACGCTACCAGACCACATTATTGCGAACGGGGAGCATTCACTAAACGGCGGTTTGCACATTTATTACTGGAGGTACCGTAACAGGCAGTGTGTGTTTATGGGGGGGCAATGTGTGTGTATGGGGGGCAGTGTGTGTGTATGGGGCTTTTGTATGGGGGGCAGTGTGTGTGTAGAGGCTTTAATGTGTGTATGGGGGCAGTGTGTGTGTGTGTCACTGGAGGATGTTGCTGGGGGTCAGGCAGCCATCTTCTGAAGCAGCATGGGCTGCTGCATTACGGCGGGGTGGGGCTTATCTGCGGGGCGGGGCTTCGTTTGGGGCAGGGCCTGTGCCGGGGAGCCAATCAGTGCTCCCTCCGGCCACAGACAGCCCCCAGCACCTCTCTCCTGCATTCCCTCGTGCTGTAACAGGCTGTTACACTGTATGGGGGTCTGCGCTGTATAGGGGGGTCTGCGCTGTATGGGGGTCTGCACTGTATAG